ACACGATGCAGTCCAGTATTAAATTGATTTGAACTTATTAAGTATGGTATTAGAGGTTTATGCACTATTCAACATTCCTATGATGTTTATAACAATTACCTATAATTATAGGTGCGTAAAATATGTACCTTAAAACGTATAATTAAAATGTGCATCGGTATACCTATTATTATTATTATTATTATTATTATAACTTATAAGCAATGTTTAAGAAAAAAAATTATATCCAGCCTGCTATTTGCCCTTGGCGAACATTTATACGTCGATGTTTCTTAATTACTGATATCATGAGACAATTCCCATTTTAAAATTCCCTGTGATTGAGCTAGATTATGGGCACTCCTACACGACATATGTGCGGCGCCTATATAGACCCGGGTTAATGGTTAACCCGAAGYTGATGGACGGCACATTATAATATAATATTAATGAGTCATCAATTTAATGTCGAATATTATATAATATACRATATTGGAATGGGTAGGATACAAATTATAGATTTCACAAAAGTGATAATCGTAAATAAAAATGATGTCAAGCGTTTTTAATTATATTACAGATTAGAATTTTAGGTGTGTTTGAACTTCTGAACTGATCACAAATTATTATTTGATCAACATGATGGTTTTGAATAAGCTACAAAATATATTGAGTATTATTATGGTACATGATGGTTTGGAACAAATGTAAATACGACAAATTCAATTATAGTGAAAACCCTATGTAGGTAGGAATATAAAATTATCAATTTTAAAATATTTTATATACAAACTTAATGGACTTTAAATCCATGAATTGAAATTGATAATATCAAATAAAAGCGTGGGAAAATTGTACGAAGAACCATATAGGTAAGTTGATACTAATAAAATAATGAGCCAACGTGAATTGCAAATTATATGTTATTAATTATTATAAATTTAATGTTACTGACTAATAATTAAAATTAGTAACAGCTCTAAGTACTTACCTGAAATTATTATTGCAGCATAATCCAAAAAAATCATTGTCTTATTCCTTAATCATCATTGATAATTATTATCATACAAATATGACCATCGATTATAATATTTCTCAAATAATAACAAAATATATCGCATTAATTCTAACTCGAATAGAACTTTATAAGTCTATTATAGCTCTCTATATTATACAATCATTATAAGCGCGGTGCATCATGATTGTGCACTTTTCTTTTTTTACCTAATAAAATCACAACACGATTTTCACGATTTTGCATGGAAACAATTTACCTACCTATATTCAATTCATTTACAACACACTAAATATTAAAACTTATAATATTATGTATAGGCTATCGTTATGTTATGTAAGTTGTAAGTACCTATCTACTAAATGTAATACAACCAAGAATTAAAAGTTATATTTTGCTAACTGTTGTACATCGTGTAACTGAGCAAAAGTATAAAAATTCGAGAAATTTAAATTTTGTAAAATTCTATTTAGGTAAGTAATTAAATGTTTGACTATTAACTGTACATCTGCATAGCATGCTTTAAAAAATTACAGTAAATCAGTAATAACTAATAGTTAGGTATGATCGACACATTTTAAAATGTTAAAGCAAGTCTAAAATCATATCTGAAGATCATAATATTACACTTATATTATGAGTAAGTACGACTAATGTTTAAATTTGTAAATAGCGTATATCTATTTAATATTATAAAATAATGGTGTATATTTATATATTGTGTTGTATAGATAGGTACCTATAGGTGGATACATCATTTGATGTCCAATTTGTTGTAGTTTATTATTATATTTATTTACGTCCGTACAGGTAAATAGTTTAAGTGTCTTGCRAAATACATAAATAAACTATAAAAAACACAATATGATTCATATTATATGAATTATATATTTATTATGATAATATTTTATCATGAATGATCGACTGCGTAATAAATTGAGTTGTGATTTTTTGGTCAAAGCARGAAAATGTGCGCAATCGTGTTGTATTTTAATAAAAAAAAACAATAAAAGGGATTTCATCAATTGATAACGTTTATCATGTACATCAATAGTAACACGAAATTATTGTTAAGACACTATTTATATTATTTTAAATAAGTATTGATCGTTTTCTAAAAGACACATTATAATTGTAACGCTCAAACAGGATTTTTTTAAATTTTACGAAGATAAATAACACTTTTATAATTAATACAATATATCTAAATTTAGTTTTAGTTGTGTAAACTATGTCAAGTTTATAAATATATTTGACAATGTCGAACTTCGGTTACAGTGTCTTGTAATAATAATCTACTATAAGTAAGTAATGCTCGGGGTCAACGGCAGTGTTATGATGTAATAATTTCCAGTTGCTTAGTGAAATGGAAATTTAGCGGAGTTTTATGAAAAAAAAAATAGCATATGTTAAGTGCCCTTGACCAGTTGACCAACTTGACAGAGTATTCCAAAAAGAGATGAACAAAAATACTG